TTTTTGAAGCAATAAATTGACCTGTTTGTTCTTTATCAGAAAAATCTGCAATCGAATATAAATATTCCTTTCGTTCTGGTGTAGAAATAATAAAATTGTATAAAGAATCATTTGATGGACTCGACCAGCCATCAAGCGCTTGTTAATAAAAATTAATTTATTGTTAAAATATATATATTATGAAATTAATTTATATATGTATTTAAATATTTACCTAATGTTAAATTTTGCTCATTTTCAAGCAAACTACCAACTCGTACTGTTACTCGAGCAGCTTCTTCATCAAATATATTACTAGCTAATGTTAATCTTCCTGGAGGAGTATAGCCCGACACCATTAATTTAAAAAGATCTCGAACAAATGGATTATTGATAACGGAAAATGATATTTCTGCACAAACAAAAGCTTTAATTAAAGCTTTATTAAGTTCATGATTTCGCTCATTTGATATAGGCTCAAATAGGTTAAAATCAGTATGTGAAGTTTTGGATCTTTTAGATAATAAGCTTTCATTATCACTATCATCATTATCTTTAGTTTTTTCATTCCGTTTAGCTACATAAATTAGCCATTTTTGCCTTACATTATCAGGAACAGGACGAATATCACCTTTGCAATGTAATGCCAAGTATGATTCCATTATAGCAGGCTTTCTACATTGCCATCTTCCTTGAGTACAATATTGGCAAATCGCTCCATAATGACCTTTACTATAAGGCTTTCCATGTTTAAATTCATCCTATATATCAGCAGGTGGGTGTCCACCTTTATTTGTTCTTTTAGCTTTTTGTTTTTTTTTATTTTGAATTTTATTTGGTATTTCAGAATTTTCTTCATTTCGAGTAGTTTCTGCTTGACTAGTAGTCATCATTTCAGAGATATCATCATTTAATAAATCTAGCTTCATGATATGCTAAGAAGTTGCAAGTAATAATAAGATAAATGTAGCTTAATATATAATATAATTATTTGCATTCTTCGAAAAAAAAGGTTAGTATAGTATAACCTCCTAATTACACTTTATAGGGAGTAAGCTTTATAATATATGTTTAGAAAACAATATGAAAAAATATGTTTATAGAAATCAATTATATATTCAAGCCAGGAGTTAAAAGTGCATTTAGATAGGTTATGCATTTAAAGAAAATGCATGTATATAGAAAGATCCCTCTGTATATATAAGGATAAAAGTATATAACAATATACAAACTCTTAATTCATTAACTTTTTTAATTAAT